CATTGTTTTCAGTGCCATTGTAACTTCAAACAGTCACTAAATGAACTGTTGCATGTCATGGACAACTTGCAACATGGGAGGATTAGTAATGGAGGATCATACTGATCAGTTTGTGTGAAAACATGATTTGGTTTTGGATTAACGTATTAAGTCAAGCACATGATTACTATTTGTAACTCATCATTGGGTTTGGTGAAATATGTAATCTCTCCTATTGTGATTTATTCAATAAACTGTAGAGGAGCCAACCACAGCATAATAAAAACATGCAAAACCAGTTAAAGTGTGGATCTAGGAAGAATCTGTGAGTTACGTCAACAGGATTCTCATCTGAAAGCACCCTAGCCTAGCAATCATCTACACAACTCTACCAATGAATATATATATGATTTTGCTGGGTATTTTCTCTGGATGTTGTACCAGTAAGCAGAATTATCTTGTCACCTGCAAAATAACATGTTTGTTTTATCTTAGAATCAACATTTTACTCCTGACCAGAACTTTCTCTGTGTTTGGAAATGGTTTTTCATGCAATATGCCATGCTAAGTATATCATGAAAACAGGCACATTTATTTCTGGCTAAGCATGCAGTAACACTGCATTTAGATTCATAGACTTGAAGCAAATCCAGGGGCATGGTGTCTTGTAACATGTGTCACAAGAGTTAATTGCAGAAGTTCTTGCATCAACCTCCATGTAACACTCACAAGCAGGATGTTTACACAAGCCACAAGACTCTTCTCTCCCTCAAAAGCAGAAATTAGTTCTTAACAGGAGAGTACACGGACTGAAATGGGCTTTTGCTGAAGCACCGCCAGCCTTAAGTAGCAAATGTGAACAGTATAAGCTAAGGACATCTGGCAAAAATCAATCAATTCAACAAGATGAACATATAGTGTCTGCTGTGACAGCTGCAATAAGCCACAAGTATGCAACATTTAAGGGGTAGAGAGCTGATATCGATTTGAATTGCTTGTAGGTAGTCATGCTGGAGCCAGAACAAGAATGTAATTAAAATTAAAATCTGATTTACATTTAAATGTATTTTAAAAGAGTGTTCTGTTATTTTGACTTATTAATAATAATAATAATTTGGAAACAATTTTGGGATATATCTAGAGTCACAGCTAAGATAGCGGGGCATGTTTGTATCACATAGAAGAGATTACGCAAGCCTATTGTAAGGGAGGCAATTCAAGCATGCATGTTTGGCTGTTGAATGTATGATAATTTACTAGAAATGCATACCTTTCTAAGGACCTATTTTATTGTGGCCATTGAACTGTCCACAAGAGTGACTGGATTCATATATTACACTGATCCATGCTCTGGAATAAACTGAACACATAAGGATAAATCATATAAATACTACTTCAGCTTCAACCACAACAATACAAGAGCACACAACAGATACAAACTCAATGTAAACAGCTTCAAACTTGATTGCAGAAAGTACAACTTCAGCAGCAGAGTGGTCAATGCCTGGAATGCCCTACCTGACTCTGTTGTTACATCCTCTAACCCCCACTCCTTTAACCTCAAATTATCCACTATTGACCTCACCCCAGTCCTTAGAGGTCTGCAAGGGGCATGCATAAGTACACCATTGTGCCTACTGTTCCTGTCCTATTGTCCCCATTTATTTGTACCTATTTTTTGTATTCTTACTTATGTTTATACTTGTATCTATTATCTTGTAAGCAATTGACAAAATCAAATCAAATCAAATCAAATAAATAAATCTCATTATGTCTCAGAGTGATACACAAACTTCTCCAGTAGGCTGTATGTAAAATTTTCATTCTATTCATGCTTTTTCCATTGACAGAAATTTTATTTGCTATCATTTTGCCCCCAGCTTTACTATTTGAAAATGGTTAATGATGATAATTCAAAACAGAATTTGTAGTACAATGGTCTCAAAAGGGGTGAGAGTGGGATAGAGGGTGTACCAGTCTATCAAAGACTATTAATCTTGAAGACTGAATGTTACCTTTGGAAGCAGCAGGGAAACAAGGGTGGGTAAATGGTATGTCTGTATCTCTGTTCTACTAAGCACCCAAGGGGCATCTAGTTGCCCATTTTCTGAGGAGTAAAATACTGGATTAAGATGACCAGCAGAGCTCTTCTTGTCAATATTCAAAAGCCCAACATGTGCAATGTTATTGCAATTGGTAGGGATGGAAACAGTCTCTCCCTGTACCTCTCCCACTATTCTGGATTGCCCCCAGCCTTCAGGGGAAAAGGCTGCTGGCAAGGATTGGCTCTTCCCTTATTTAACCAATGAAAAAACTCCAGAGAATCAGAAGGCCTCCTATTTGAGGTGGGGTGGAGAGGAGGGTGTTTGCTGGAACCAGCAGAAATTCTTGCCTTTACCTTCCAGAGAAGTCTTAGATTTCTTAATACTAAGTTTGGCTGATTAAAACTAATTTGCCTATGACTAAAACTAAGCAACATGAGGAAAAAAGTAAACTCCCTGGCACCTTTTGCTAAAATATTAGTTTGCTTACTCATGGCTTTTTAAATAAATCACAACATGCTAAACCAAAACATGATTTTTACAGAATGCTAAACCTTAAAAAGTTATTCATTTAGTTTGGATTTACTATGTTATGCAAACTCTGAATATGTCTATCTCTCTGTTACTCTCTTACCCAGTTCTAGTGGCTTTGGGCAACTTAAAAAATAAAATGTCTGAAGAAAAAATGGCAAACACCATTAAACATCAAGGCTCATTAAAGTTTTTAAACCTTTATAACTAAATCCCAGGAAAATCTGATTTCAAGAAAAAGTCTAAGCATTGAAATGACATCTAAAGCACAAACACCTTTAATATTCATTGAGTTCAATTTACAAATCTTAGCAGGATTAATGGAACTTGAAGCTATACTGTGGAGGCCAGAGAAAGCTACCCAAAATGAAAGCATTTTATTGTAAATTAGAAGTATCTGTATAAAAGTAAAGCAGCATCAAGAGGTAGACCTGAGACACCACTTATAAATGCTATCAGCCTTACAGCTCTAAAAAAAAATCTAGGCTACCAAAATGTATAGTCTACTTTACAGAATAAATACATATTATTTTATGTAAGACTATATGAAGTTATTAGCTAACACTATGCTGAATACAGTACTGGATGTAAAGAAGAGGTTGTGTTCCCATAAACAAAACTTAAGTAACACTTTTAGGAGAAGACTTAGACCAAAGTGACAAATTATACACACTAAATTAAAGCAAAATTAGTAGATTAAATTAACTGAATGCAAAATAGTCAACATATTCTAGAGACAAGTTAGATTACTAAAGGAACTTAATGTTGCCCTTAAATGCTTTGTTTGGCTATTGATAAGAGAATTTGAAAAAAATGTGCTATTTAAGAATAGAAATAAATGATTAGAGTGAATTAGGTCAAAGTACTCCTTAATATGCATTTAAAAGTTCCTTCCTGAACATTTCTAAGAAAACATAATTCTTGACTAACAGCATATATACAACCAACAATTTCTTCACCTTTCTGTAAATCTAAAGGGATAATCCCTACTGCTGAGATTTTTGAGACAATTTTATTACAAGGTTCCAGAATAATATTTAAACTGAACATTTTGAACCGCGGTAGTTAAAACTTCCTTTTAGCTCTTTGAATGTGTTCCAAAGCTAATGTGTTATAAAGCTCTATTTTTTTCAAATTATATGTATAATGTGTGGGTTTTGGAGCACACTTGGGGAAGGCGGAGGAAGTTTAACTCTTACACCCCACATTTTACTCTTTATGAAACCCATCTGAATCTCTACCAAAACTCACCCACTGCCAGCAGCCTAGAAAAGAATTAAAGGGGCCTATTTGCTTCGCATTCAAGACATAGCATCCCTATGCTGGGAAAACAGTGAGGTTGGTCCTTCTTATATTCTCAAGAGGCACTTCTTAACGGAGACCTGTGTTGCTTTTCATCCTACCAAGCACTTTAACTAAATTAAGACAATCAGCCCTTCAACTCACTCCTCCTAGCCTTGTCCTTCAACCAATCTAAAAGTTCTAATACAGCCTATTAGGAGCAGGGTTTTTTAAAACAAATTCTGGCTTAATAAAAGCTGCATAAATATTTGAGCTCACCAGAAAATTGGGCTCTGGCCCCGATTGAACAGCCAATTAACAGGCATGAACACAGATCGCTATCAAGTGTAAACGTTTGAACAGAGAAGACGAGAGAGGCGGGGGCAGTAAAGATGCATTAATATTTCGGGCGAAGCCATTCATGTCAAAATGCTGGGACTGAAGGGGCATTGCAACTAACAGAGTAATTCAACAATTTACTCTCTATCTTCCTCGCTTCGGCACACACTACGCGTTTATTATAGATGCCCTTATCCTTTCCCCTCCCAGCAGTGGAGATGCAGGTCAACACGTGAAAGCGTGTCTCCGGCCCGATCAACGCCAAGATAGGAAAGATGAGGGCAAAACGCGCCGGTAGGGATTAAAAGCCGTGGGTCGGAATTGGAGGGGAGGGGGGGCACGAAAACGCCAGCGTGCCGTGCGAACGCCGAAAGCGCGGTGGGGCTGTGCGGTTGTGCGAACGCGGCCAAAGCGCTGCCGTTTCCGAGATGCCCGCCTCCTGTTTTGACAACTGCTCCCATTTCCTAGACAATGAGAAACTTGACGAGCGATCCGCCTCGACCGTACCCTCGCACTCCCTCTCCTCTGCTCCCGCCCCTGGGCAGCGCGGCACCCAGGAGCCCGCGAGATGGCTTGCTTGCAAGGCTCGCCCCCGAGAGGAGGAGGAGGAGGAGGAGACCCGGCGCTCAGCTTGCGATCCCCGACCTCCCCAAAACGAAGACCCGGCCTCCGATGCGACCTGCTGCCGCCGCCTCACTTGCTGCTGCTGCTGCCGCAGCGGCGGCTGCTCTCCAAAAGCCTCCCAGCAACGCAGCGGCTATTCGTGGGCTTCCCCCTCGCCCTCCCCCGATTCTATTGTTGGTCTCTTTCTCTCTCTGTTTTTTTTACCTGGTCGGTCAGTTTGAGCACTGCCATGTTCTCCCCCGGGCTTTGCTCGCCCACATGCAGCTCTCCCCGCCTGGAGATGCCAAGCCACGTTCCGAAGGGGAGACGCGCGATCGCGGGCTGACAATCCTCCTCCCGCAGCTCGCCGCTCGCTAGGTCAGGAGGAGCAAAACCCGCTGGTATTTAGCCAAGCCTGCTCTGATACAGGAAGTACGGCTGCATTCAACCCAGCGAGCCCTGACATCACTCCAACACACTCTCCGGGCCGCGCTCGCCTTGAACGAGAGCGCCCCTTGCCGAGCGTAGCCGGGAACTGCGCCTTGGCTCTCCCCCACTCCTCCTCCTCCTCCTCCATGTCCGGAAATGCGAGGCTGCTCCTGCCGATTGCTTGGAGAGCCCGTCGGGATCGTTTCCTTTGTTCCGGTCCCTGGTATCACCCGCCCCCCTCGCGCGAAATGTGCCCTTTGCGCTTGCTCTCCTTGTTTATAGAGAATCAGAGTTGGAAGGGACCTAATGCGCAATTTATCGGCAATTAAAAATAGCGGCGGCTGGGTTCGGTGCTGTAGTTGGGCCGGGCTATACAATTCTGTCCATCGCGTTGTCTCCTTCACGCTTCTGACGGTATTGCGTTTGAAGTCAGCCTTTTTATCCTTGGAGGTTACCGCTTATATGGGCCGCTGCTTCTTGTTTCTACTGGTCGATCCTGTACTTCGGGGTGCTTCTAGGATTTTATGGTGCAATCCGCATTGTGTGAATTAATGGAGGGCAAATTCAGATGTCTTACAATGAAAAGATAAGGAGCGATAAGATAAGGTATATAGAATGATGTGGAATGTGAAAAAACCATTCTCCCCTTTTGGACAGATAAAGGGAAATACTTGTTGACACAGTGGCTAGTTACAGTAATGGAATTTTCAGTCATCAAATGTGGATGTGGGATCCAACGTTAAGAGCTTTTAAAGGGGACTGGAACAATTGGGGGAAGGATCAGGCTAGCGCTGGTGGAAGGCAAACATCTAAAGAGAGTAGATGGGCTGCACCTTTTTGAAATGCATAGTGGCTTTTTTATTAATAGCCCGTGAACCTTTCAGGTAAGACTCATCCTTACACAGAGATATTCCACTGAACAGTTTAAAAGGACATATTCCGATGTTGTCTTGATCCTTTCCCCCAAAGGTGGTGGCTTAAATTCACCTTTACCAACTTTACTAAAATTTACAGTTGTAATAGATCAAATCAATGACCAAGGCCATGTTGGCTGGAGGTAAGCAAGTCTCACTGTCTGACACTTGGAAGAAATTATATTGTCAGAGGTTGTTTTATTGTCATGTTAATTTTAAGCCAATTTTAAAGATAATATTCTAATATTATATCTTACTGCTTTTTACTTAGTCTAAGCCAAGATGGGTGGCATAAAAATGTAATAAAATATAAAATGTTGGCTCTAATTACATTTTTGTATGTGTGCTATGTTAGACTACTATTCTTTGAATAGTAATAAAACTTATTTTTTGCTTTCTATCTGTGAGCTGCCCTAAAATATATAGGTTGAAAGGCAGCTATATACATACAGTGTATATCTAAAAAAAACTAGTTTGGATTTCCCAGTTGAAAAATATCTGATGTGAGCAATAAAGTAACATCAGACAGGCCTTTCTAAAGAGGAAGAGGCTAAGAACCAAGAATTCCTTTTCCCCTGGTAGTATGAAAAGTTCATAAAATGTTTTACTTGTACTAGATCCATTCAACTGCTTTCTGCTTGAATAAGAGATGGGGAGAGCCAGAAGAGAACTTAAACAATTGTTATTTCCAACTCATAATGTGCATTCTTCCATGTAAATAAAATCAGCATATACTGTTTATTTAAATGTTTTATATTTCTTTCCTACTCATCATAAATTTAAAGGACCCAGAGGAAAGGTAACTCCTAGAGACTCACAGGGCATCTTCAAAGGAACTTTGAAAAGCATCTGTCCCCCAATGGGGTAAATAAGCAGCAGGGACAGGAAAGAAAGAAAGATGAATTAGTAAGCTATAGTGTTTTGGACTGTACGTAGCTTTGGAATTAAAACATATTCTTCCAGCAGGAGGTGGGAAGAAGCCCATGAATTATATAATTATATGTGATTATATAATATATAATGTATATATGTATATATATATATTAATATATTATAATTAGGGAACTGGAGACTAAAACATATGAAGAATGGTTACAGGAATTGGGCTTGGCTAGTCTAGTAAAGAGAAGGACCATGATAGCGGTCTTCCAATATTTGAGGGGCTGCACAGAGAGGAAGGGGTCAGTCTATTTTCTAAAGCGCCTATTGGCCAGACAAGGAATAACGGATGGAAACTGAACAAGGAGAGATTTAACCTGGAAATAAGGAGAAATTTTCTGACAGTGAGAACAATCGCCATTGGAACAGCTTGCCTTCGGAAGTTGTGGGAGCTTCATCACTTGAGACTTTCAAGAAGAGATTGGACTGCCACTTGTCAGAAATGGTGTAGGGCAGTGGTCACCAACCAATGGGCTGGAGACCACTCGTGGTCCATGAGAACATTTTGGTGGTCCGCAGAGAAATCCCACCCCCAAAGCACTCCCCAAAGCAATTAATCCAGGCTGTGTGGGAACACAAGGCTTGTGTTGCTTGCATTACGAACCACACAAGGTAGTGAGGGGAGGGGGGGAAAGGGCAGAGGGGTGGGAACTTGCCCCACTCCAGGCACCTCGCCTGGCCATCTGTTCTGATCCAAGCCTTGTTCCAAGCAAACAAAAACCGAACGAGATAAAAGCAAACCCTTTTTAATGCTTCTCTGTGAATATCCATTCATTCACAGTAAAATCGCTATTAAAACTAATTGTCCCAGATAAGAACAAGCCTTGCCAAGGTTGTGCAAGGCTGCCAAGAACACTAGATTAAATTGCAAGGAAATATTCAAAACCAAAAGTCTCCAAACACAAACCAGGATAGTCAGAACTTCCACAAGATTTGAAGTGCAAGAACTTTCTTCTTGCAAAGAATCCCACCTCTGAGGGCTGGCTTTTATCCCTTAAGGGAGGGGCCATCACCTTGCAGCCTTATTCCTGAGTTGCCCATGCTGCTGCAGCTGCTCTTTCCTTCAAGCAGCCCTGCACGCACGGCACAGGCTCCTCAGGGTCTTCTGCATCACAGCTGCCAGCCTCCACAAGCTCTGAAGGCAGCACTCCATTCTCTGATAATCCTGGCCCCATTCGTGCATCACAAGCAGGCCCCTCATCTGAGTCCTCGTTCTGAGACCTCAGCCATCCGCACCTGCTGCTGGCAAATCACACCACCGGGCTGCTTCTTTTGCTTTTGGCTGCATGCAAGGAAAGCAGCAGAAGTCTTTCTTTCTTACTGCCAAACTCTGCCAGAAATGAATCTGGGACCCTGCAAGGCATCCTGCTCCAAGAGACTGTGCTGGCGCGACAAGTCTCACAAAGACTAATTTCTGGTGAAGTTTGGGGAGAGAAAGACTTCTGCTGCTTTCCTTGCATGAAGCCAAGTCTCTCTCTCTCTCTCTCTCTCCGAAAATGGAGCTGGAGACAGTATCTTACGATCCCAAATAAAAAATGATCGATCGGTAGGAAAACGGGGTAGGAAATTTTCCTGCAGCCTTTTGGGGGGATTTTCCCAGGGTCTCTGGTCTGTGGGATTTAAAATTATGAGTTTGGTGGTCCCTGAGGTCCAAAAGGTTGGCGACCCCTGTTGTAGGGTCTCCTCTCTTGAGTGGAAGGTTGGACTAGATGACCTACAAGGTGCCTTCCAACTGTTAATCTATGTAAGCATCTGATGCACATTATTTCAGTCAAAGTCCAAGCTTAAAGTAGAGCTTAAAATGTGAGACTTAAGTTTTCCATGAATGTTATTGTTACAGCTTTTTGTATGTCTCAAGATTCTTTGGTATCTTCAAGAACATGGGAATCTAAGTGTCATGATTCTGGCATGTTTAAAGATAATCTGAGGTAGCAATTGAGACAAAGTTTTTAAAAATGTGGCCTTGGAAGCTTTCCATAAACATTATATGGCCAATTTTTCACTGCACATATTCATCTGGTTTGCTGCAGCCTTACTCTCCTTATAAATTAACACAAGCGTGTTGTCCCTGACCAACAAATGCATACTTTCCCCTTGATTCAAGATACCACAATGTGTTAGCCTAGAACAGGCATCCCATTTAATTGCATTTAAATACCAAGTTTGCAATGTCATCTGAATTGAACGTTTGCTAATCAATTGTCAATTTTCTTTTCCAACCTCCAGATAGTTAAGTGGGAACAGCAGCCACAAAATGACAACTTGAATGGCATGTTAACCACAGGCTTCATTTTTCTTTTATAGTGGGCCTCCCACATACAATGACTGCTATCATCAGTTAGACATCTGTGCCATTTCCCCCTTTTGAATAAGTGTTACCATGACCAGCCATAAAATTTGCTGGTGGGTATTTAGTGTAATGTTTACCCACTGAATGTTACATATTGTACATAGCCTCCCAATAACATTTCAACACCACATATACACCTATTTTAGTGTGTAATCCACAGCCATGTTTCAATATTCATAAAATATCCGGTTTTGAATTCATTACTGCTTCAGGAGAATATTGGAAGAAAACAGTGGACATATGATAGGAAAATATTTGGTTGAGAAAAGAAAAAATAAAGACCCAAACCTCAATTCAATTCAGTACAAAAGCCAATTTTATAACAAGTGCTTTTTTAGGGTAAAGACACAACAATCAAAATGTGAACGTTCCTTATTTATTCAAAAGCTAGGGTATGACAAAGACATTAAAATGTAATATGCCACCTTTTTACATAAACTGCTTGATGATGAGACTTATTATATGTCTCCCTGCCCAAAAATGCTCACACACAAATAACCATTAATATTTTATACACAAATGTTTATTTCTCAAACAGCCCCTTTAAACACAAGGAACAGAATCTTAAATCCTCAAGATGATTCCCCCCATATTCTCTGCAATCACTGTGTTCTTGGTCACTACTGGCTTTAACACCAAAACAAAGACATGTTATTTAAAAATCATGCTATTGATTTCTAAGCTCTGCCTCTGACCATTCTACGGTACTCTGCAGTGTCTTAAAAATTGTACATCACCAGATCTGAACCAAATATGGAATAG